CTCTGCGGGCGTCTCCCAGGGGGTGTGGCCCCCTGCCGCCAGCTGTGGGCACAGCTGCACGTGTCCACCGGTGTCTGGGCTCAGGGCTGTCCTGTGAGCAGGGCCGGGCCCAGGCTGAGGAGGCGGAGACCAGCTGGGCTGCTCTGTTTTAAATGTTTTTTATTGATTTTTTAAAGAGAGAGGCAGGGATTTTTGGAGGGAGAGGGAGAGAGAGAGACATCAATGATGAGAGAGGAACATCATCCTGCATGCCCCCCAGTGGAGGCCAAGCCAGGCATGTGCCCTGACCAGGACCTCCTGGCTTATGGGCTGTTGCCCAACCACTGAACCACACCAGCCGCGCCTGGTACTCTTTGGAAGGCGGGCAGTGGCGCAAGGTCACTTTAAGGCCCCGGTTCAGTCGCATGTACTGACCTAGCCAAGGGCAGGCGGGAGAGAAAGCACACGCTTTCAGAGAGCCCTGTGGTCCGTGCACATGAGGGAGAGGAAAGAAAGGGAGGCCGCTGGTCAGGAAGGGCGGCCGCGCAGCAGGTGATGCGAGGCATTTGGGAGGTTTTGCAGCACCATGCGTTCTTGAGCCCGTGGGCGGTGCTTGTGCGCGTGGGCGGAGCGTGTGCATGTGGGCGGTTCCTGTTCACGTGGGCGGAGCTTGTGCGTGTGGGCGGAGCTTGTGCGCGTGGGCGGAGCTTGTACACAAGGGCCTTCAGGTGAGATGGCAGAGGTGGGAGACTCCAAGGCTCTTGCAGGCGGGCGGGGGAGGGACAGCAGGGCGGGAAGAACTGAACACAGGAGGGGGACTCCCATCAGGATGGGTCACTGGGGACCTGGCTGCACGTGGCAGCGGGGAGGCGTCCCAGTCAAACCGGGTGGGCCATCGGAGGGGGCGTGGCCCGGGGTAAGGTGCGGAGGGCGCTGTCACAGAAGTGGGGAGTCAGGTGGGGGCTGAGGGGCTCTGCAGAGGACCCACCAACCAGTGCCCCGGGCAGGAGGCCAGGAGAGCGAGCTGGTCCACGTGGCAGGGGAGGAGGAGGGAGACGCCCCCGCCCCCGAGGGGCAGCTGCTGCGCTGAGCCAGCTGGATGGGGCTGAGCAGACAGCCAGCCCGCTCCCCTCAGCTCCTGCGGCCCCTCCCTCTGCCCCAGGGGCTGTCCCGCCCGGCCCCGCCCAGGGGGCCTCACGGCGTCTCCCTGTGTGTAGAACAGACCCTCTTCTCCTGCCTCTGCCGGCAGCACATGCACGTCCACAGCCCGAGCCGCTCCTCTCCGTAAGTCCCCGTAGTGCCCGATGCAGCCCGACCGCAGCCTCCTCCTCCAGCCTCCAGGCCTGGGCTCCCTTCCCGGCATCGGCAGCAGGAGGTGGAAGGAAGGGCCTGGGAGGGCGGCACCTCGGGGACGTCCTGGGTTTGCGACCACCTGGGGTAGGGAGGGTGGTCCTTGTGCTGGTTTGTTGTGGGCGGCGGAACGGCACCGGGTGTCTGACCCATGGGGTCCGGGCAACCCTGGGCCCAGCAACCTCGGTACTTGGGTTCGGGCTGGGAAGGAAGTCAGAGCCAAGGCCCACGCTGTGAGGACGTTACTGGGAAATCTCAGGCAGAAGAAGCGGTTCCTAGAGGGACTGGGCGGAGGGAAGGAGGGGGGAGGGAGAGGAAGGCCCTGGAGCTTGGGAGGCGGGAGCTAATGGTCATGTGCCTGGGGGTGGGGGATGGGGGAGGCACGGGCCTGCTCCGGAGGAAGGGAGGGGGAGCCACTGGGTCCCCCATCCTAAGGGTCCGAGGGGGAGAGGTTAGGGGAGGTCCCGGGAAGATCTCAGAAGAATATGCAGCAGCTTTCCAGGTGTGTCCTCTCAGGGTTGGGGTCCCCCGGATTGATTGGCGGCACCAGGGCAGGGCAGGGGGTCATTATTCCCGGCAGCTGGTCCTGAGCTGAAATACAATTGAGGCCTAGAGGTTACCTCTAGGGAGGAAAGGTCAGGGGTCCAAACCTCCTGCCCAGCGTATGCTGGGAGGAAGGTCACCCTGGGGCGAGGTCCCACCCTGCAATGGATGGTTGTGGCTAGGCCCCTGGGGCTCTCAGCCGCTCCCCGCCCCCCAGGCCCCCTGCCCCTCAGGCTTCCAGCTCCCATGTTCACAGCAGCTGTGGAGATCCCTTTTGCTAACCATTGAAACCTGTAAAGAATTTTTGTGAGTTTATTTGAGCGAAATTGTCGACATATGCCGGGAAGCAGAACCTCAACGAATTGAGATAATGCTCCGGAGAATGGCGGGTTACCTCTGTATACACTGCCCTCAAAGGAAAGGGAGGGAGGTGGGTGACATGAGATCCATTGGTGACAGGCTAGAGAGGCGGGAGGAAGCAAAGGGGGTGGGGATGGAACCCCTGGGATTGGATATAAAGTAGCATGATGGACACACTTAGGTGGGCGCAGGAACAATTAACATTAGGTTGTGCCCCAGGGGCTCCAGAAAAAGGGAAGTCACAAGTTCCCAGACATTTCAAGGTCTGTTATCATAGATGCAGAAAGACAGCTCAGTTAAGGTAAAGGTTGACCTTGTCAGTGAAGATACCAGCCTAGGATGTAACTGCCCACCATCACTGCTTTTAAAGTTTAATTTCAGGCCATCCTTTGTGGTGACTTTGGGTCTCTGAGTTTGCAAGACCGCCATGCAGGCCTTCCCTGAGCCTGTCAGGTCAGCATGCGGCCCCTTTCGTCCACACTTTCCTGCACAGTCCCTCTCATGATTCTAATATTTTCACCAGGAAGAACTCCTGAAACTTTTAAGAGTCCACCATTACCCCAAGATTTGCCTGATGAGATGATCAATTTTTTCATCAAGTTGATTAACATAATCTAGGCAGCCTCCCCCCCCTCCCTCCCCCCTGCGGGAGGGTTAAATAAGCAGGTCATTGGTGGGTCGCTTTAGGACTGTACCACCACCCAGGGAACAGACAGCCTGGAGGTGACCGTGTCCACCGGGTCTGGGACTGAGGTCCAAGCGGCCTGGGTGGGAAAGGATGAAAGGAAGAGGCAGGTGCCACCTGAGCTCCTCGGGGCAGAGCTGGCTGCTTGCTGAGAATCCAGACCCTGGAGCTGGCCCCTGGGCCAGGCCCTGCCCCGCCGGCAGCAGGTAGGGGTTCCCTGTCCCGGTGGGCACACCTTCACCGCCAGCCTTCCTCCCTGCGTTCCGGCTCCGTAACTCCTCAGCCGGCATCCACCTTATCTTTCCGCGTCCAAGACTCCCCTGTTCCTAAGTAACCTTAACACACTTTTTTTTTTTTCTTTTTAACTGATTTCAGAGAGGAAGGGAGAAGGAGAGAGAGATAGAAACATCAATGACGAGAGAGTCATTGATCAGCTGCCTCCTGCACGCCCCCTACTGGAGACCAAGCCCCCAACCTGGGCAAGTGCCCTTGACCAGAATGGAACCCGGGACCTTTCAGTCCACAGGCCGACGCTCTATCCACTGCGCCAAACCAGCTAGGGCCCCTTAACACAGTCTTGATGGGGGCAGGGGCGGGGAGGGGGCAGGCAGGGGCTGTCAGCCTTGTTCTCCAGTCTCTGGCCCGGGAAACCCAACGGTGGGCCTGGTGTTTAGGACCAGAGCGCCCAGGACCTCCCAGAACGGACAAGATAGACAGCAAGCAAAGCCTCGGAGGGACGACACCCCCTAAATCTCACAGTGCAGAGTGGGGGTGCAGGCTGGGGGTGTGTGGGGACAGGAGTTATTACTTTTAAAACTATCATTGTGTTTTGCCTGGGCATTCTCTGAGCATTCCTAAAGTGAGAGAGAATGTCAACAGGCATTTTGAAGACATTGGGGTTGGTGTTTGTGGAGATTGAGGCCCTCTGTGGGAAGTGGGGTTGTGAGGAGGGGGCGGGGGACAGGGGGCAGACAGCTGCCTGACAGTGTCTGTCTGGTAGATGTTCTGAAATTGCGGTTTCATGGTTTCATGGAAAGTAGTCTAGTTTCTGCCCTAGCAAATCTGACTTCTAATTTTAATTCCACCAAATTTTACCGTCTCCTGTTCATACACATCCATATCCACAGAGAGAGCATCTTTGTGAATAGTCTCATCTTTTACTGTGAAAGCAGATGGAGCAGGGCGTGACTCCTGGGGTCCCCCTTGGAGTGGCGATGTGTTTGGGGTATATGTGGTGTCCTCCATAAACACATTGATCTTAAATTCCAGAGAAAGTGCCCTGGACTTGATAATAACCAGGACTCCCTGCTTCCGAAAGCAGAGATGAAAGCCAGCCTTAAAGTAGGCCATCCGCCTGGCTGGTGTGGCTCAATGGGTTGAGCATCATCCACGAACCAAGGGGTCTGAGTTTGGATTCCTGGTTAGGGTACCTGCCCAGGTTGTGAGCTGGATTCCCAGAAGGGGGCGTGCAGGAGACAGCCAATCAATGATTCATTGATGTTTCTGTCTCTCCCTCTCTATCTAAAAATCAATAACAACATGAATGAATGAATGAATGAATGAGTGAGTGAATGAGTGAGTGAATGAAGTGATGCTTCTAAGCCTTAGAATCTAAGGGCACGCCGCTTCTGAAGTCACCAGTTTTAAGCAGCGTCGCCTCTCACTGTCCTGAGTAGGCCGTGCGTGCAGGCTGCCTCTTTGTCTACTACAGTTTGTGTCCCTTTGGACGGTACTTTGGTTTTTTGTGGTTGCGTTTCATTCACACACACACACACACACACACACACACGCCCATTTCCCTGTCTGGCGGGACAGGCACACATGTGAGCGTGGTGCCCCTGGCGGGGGACGGGTGCCACCTTACCCCTCACACGCCTGTCCCACGTCCCCTCCTATGTCCCATGACTACAAGCCGACATCCACAGAAGCAGAGTTTAGTCTCGCACCCGTCCTGGAACTCAGGCGACTTCACCCACCAGCATGTGAACGCTAGACTAGCATCTGTGTGTTTCTGTTCCCACAGAGCTGCGACCTGGGCCAGCAGAGCATCGTCCACGTGGTGCTGAGACCCGGGAGAGAAGGCCCCGCCATGGCCGCCGGCGGGGACCATCCCCCGGGCACTGAGGGGGCCTTCGCGAGGGAGTCCGAGAGCCTGACCCGCGTGGACTTCAGCAGCTCCGTGCTCCCCACCGACTCCGCAGGCCTGGCCGTCATTCTGCACGACGACAGAGAGGGTGCTGCGCGGACGGCAGGCAGACCAGGTAACTATGTGACTGTTTAGGCACAGGGGTCCTCAAACTTTTTAAACAGGGGGCCAGTTCACTGTCCCTCAGACCGTTGGAGGGCCGGACTATAGTTTAAAAAAACACTATGAACAAATTCCTGTGCACACTGCACATACCTTATTTTGAAGTAAAAAAACAAAACGGGAACAAATACAATATTTGTATTTGCATGTGGCCTGCAGGACATAGTTTGAGGACCCCTGGACCCAGCAAAGCGCGTTGGGTGGTGGAGTCTCCACAGAGAAGGGGTCTCCATGTCCCCATGTCGTTCACGATGGGGTCTACGTCGCAGGAGGTGACGTCGCCAGGAGGGGAGTGTTTGATGTGAACTTGAGGTGGTGCATTCAGTCAGTGCCCCAGAGAAGGCTTTCCCATTGGGAATGAACATGGGATGGGGAAGGTGTCCTGCCATGAAGATAGTAATCTTTTTCCCCAAGAGCTAGGGGTCTAGGGACACATGGTGCTTTGTGCTGGGGTCAAAATATATGATTAAGGTACATGTATATTTCTCTCGACTTTTGTCTTTTCTTCTATTTCTTATTCAATCAAAATACTTTTGGTTGATGGTGTTTCTGATGATGTAGATGAACCGCATCCAGCACGGCCAAGGGTAAACGTGAGGAGGGTGGTGAAGGATGAAAGAAAAGAGACGAGAGAGTGTAGCCGGACCAGCTGGGTCACTGCGCCTGGATGAGGAGACAGTGGCACAGCCTGCAAGCCGGGTCCTTATTTTATGGTCAGATCTCCCGAGGCAAAGCAAGGGCGTGGTCAAGATGTTTACAATGTTCTTGCGGGTTTCGAATCTACTCAGTTACATGCACCTGAACTCCATCAAGCCCACATCACTCAGCCTCCTGGGACCACGGGTTCTGACCATAAGGTCAAACTCACAGCCATAGCCTTTGGCTGTCATTGTGCTGGGAGGGCGTCGCCCTCCAAGCTGGGACTTGCACGTGGCTTTGCCACGAGGGGACCGTGCCCTCTCATTAGTCCGAGGCTTGAACCTGTCCAAGCTGTAGCCGCTCTCCACACGTGGAGACGTTTGTAAAAGCAGGAGGAGAGCTTCAGGGGTCATTGTGGTCATTTGCAGGCTCTAAGCCATTATCTCAGTGTCAGTCCGCCCTCCGCACGGAGGTCCTTCCTCTCACGCTACAGCCATTGCAGAGTGCTCCGCTTTCGCAAGGCTGGGGTCTGTGTGCTCCTTTGACAACAGTAATGTGTTTCCTTTAATCTCTTAGCCTCCAACCTACATAGTCAGAGGACGACAGGATTGCTTTTGACTGTGCGTGACTAACAGCACCAAACAGTACTAAAGGCCCCCCAGGAGAGCCGTCCGCTTCCCTCCCCCTACAATAAGTGGACACACAGGCAGCTCTGGCTGGAAGGGCTCTCACAGTATCAGTTCTGGGCCAGCAAGATGCAGACCTAAAATCGTATGAAATGCCTCCTGCTAAATTTGTTACATTTAAAAATCACAGGGGAGGCCCGGCTGGCGTGGCTCAGTGGTTGAGCATCGACCCATGAGCCAGGAGGTCACGGTTCAATTCTGGTCCAGGGCACATGCCCGGGGTGCAGGCTTGATCCCCAGTAGGGGGCATGCAGGAGGCAGCCAATCAATGATTCTCTCTCATCATTGATGTTTCTATCTTTCTCTTCCTCTCCCTTCCTCTTTGAAATCAATTTTAAAAAATAATAGGTGAAATTGCCAAAAAGAACACCCCCCCCCCACACACACACACAAAGGGAAAATGAGTTTCCAGGGACAAGTGAAAAATAGGAACCGCACCGCCGACTCTCTGTGGAGGAATGGGTGAGCCCAGGGCTTACGTGCGTGGGCTGGTGTCCTGTGGCCTCCAGGTGGCATGGAGGGGAGGGAGGTGTCCTTCACGTGCACTGGGCACCGAGGAGACTGGAAAAGACATTTGAGAAATGGGCAAAACATGTAAGAAATGGGAGGAAGTGAAGCAAATCTAAACCTGCAGTACCTGTGGGACCCAGAATGAGAAGTTAGTGTCAGCATTGGGCCCACCTGGGGGGCGTCTGATGCTTCAGGCAGAGTGGCACTCGCGAAAGCTCCCAGAGGGATCTCGGGGGCGTGGCATCGGTGCCCCAGGACCAAACCCTGCTGTGAGGGTACATGTAACCAATGCTGAATATTCCTCCTGCATGGAGGTGACCATATACCATAAACCAGAAGATAAGTCCCCCCCCCCCCAAACTTGAGGAAGTAAAATGGCATTTTGAAACAGAATATGCAACAAATGTGTTTTATGTTAATTAAAGCATAACAAAAAATAACACAGGCACCATAGGAAAAGGTAGCTATTGAATAGAATATAATTTTTGCTATTGGGAGTAAAACCACAAATTAGGTGATGCCACGAAGAGAATTAGTGAACTGGAATATAGAGGTGAGGCAATGGCCCATAATGTGATATGGGTTGAAGTGTAAAACATAGTTTTAGAGAACAGGAGTTTAGAATGAGATGGCGGTCGTATAACTGATCGGAAACCCTTGTATCTGAAACCCTTGTGTGAGAACAGAGAACCGAGAGGACAGACAGATTCCTCAGGGACTGGCTGGGGAGAGCTTTTCTGACTCCAGAGTGCACACTCCCAGGCAAGGCCAGTGAGAAAGCCTGCAGTTGGTTGTAGTCAAGTTCAAGCCCAGGAAGCTCACTTCATAAAGGAAATAAAACACCAAGGAAAGAGAAGATCTAAAAGTCAAATAGAGAGACGGGATTAACTGGAATGGGAAAATAATTTGAATGACCCCTACCAGGAATAATAGAAGAAAAATGGTGATGTAATATCAAATACTGTGAAATACGTGTTGACTTAGAATTCTATACCCAACATACCCAGCAAAAATATGAGGAAAATGAAGATAATTTTAGACAAACACTGAGAGTACTTACAGTCAATCTGAAAGAATCATCAACGTATTTGTAACAGAGACATCACAGACTGAGAAGAACATCTAACACTTTGTTCACAGATGACCTGGTTATCTACATAGAAAATCTGAAAGAATTGACAGAAACACTCCTGTAACTATTAAGAGTGCAGGACACAAAGTTAATATACAAAACTCAGTTGCTTTCTTATATTATCAGCAATGAACAAGTGGAATTTGAAATAAAAAATAATACCATTTGCATTAGCACCCCATAAATGAAAAACTTAAATATAAGCCTGATAAAACATTTACAGGATCTATGTGAGGAAACTCACACAACTCTGATGAAGGAACCAAAGCCCTGAATAAGCGGGAGATATCCCATGTTCATGGAGAAGACGCAGTATGGTCAGGATGCCAACTTGATCTAAACAACTTCAGTGGAAATCCCAGCACCGTGTTTTGTGGACGTGGATCCACTGGTTCTAAAGTTTATCAGGAGAGGCAGGAGACCCAGAATATGACATGCCATTGAAGGAGAGGAACGGAGTCAGGGCAGGAATGGATGCTGCCTGAGGTGGTGCCAGGCTACCGAGCTACCGTGATGAAGGCAGGTCATGCCAGTGAACGAACAGGCAAATAGGTAAATGGAATGAAATAGCCAGAAACAGACCCACATGATCTGGCCAGCTGACCCCTGACAAAAGACAAAAGAGGATTTGATGGAGAACAGATAGTCTTTTCAACAAATGGTGCAGGAACAACTGAATATTGACAGACCTTATACTCTGCAAAAAAAAAAAAAAGAAACCACAAAAAAGAAAAAAACACAAACCTCAAAATGGATCATGTATTTACATGCGAAGCAAAACTATAAAATTCCTAGAACATAACACGGGAGAGAACCGAGATGACCTTGGGTATGGTGATGACTTAGGTTCAACACCATTGGCCTGCTCCATGAAATAAATGAATGATAAGCTAGACTTCATTAAATTAAACAACTTCCTGTGAAAGGCAATCTCAAGATCATGAGAAGGCAAGCCACAAACTGGGAGAAAATATTTGCAAAAGACATCCGGTAAAGGCTATTATCCAAAATATTATCTCAACAATGAAATGAACAGCCCAATTAAAAAATAGGCAAACGTTGTTCCCAGACGCCTCCCAAAAGAACATACGCAAGTAGCAAATAGCATATGAGAAGACTCCGTAGCATATGTCAGTAGGGAATGGCAAGTTATAACAGTGAGATGCCATCACACACCTATCAGAATGGCCAAAACCCAAGGCACTGACAGCACCAAATGCCGGCAAGGTTGCAGAGCAACAGGAACTCTCACTCGTCGCCGGTGGGTGTGGAAAATGGAGCAGCCACTTTGGAGGGCAGTTTGAACAGTTTCTTACAGAAGTAAACATACTCTCACCACACACCCCAGCAGCCGTGCTCTGCGGGGCTCACTCGGATGAGGGGAAATGGCTGGCTACGCAATTATCTGCACGTGATGTCACAGCAGCTTCATTCGTAATTGCCCGGACTCAGAAGCAGCCACAGTGTCCTTTGTAGGTGAACGGAGAAGCTGTGGTGCATCCAGACAATAACATACTATGCACAGCTGAACACATACGCGCTAGCAAGTCATGAAAGGACTTGGAGGAAACTCAGGTGCACGTGACTAAGTGCAGGAAGCCAATTTGAGAAGCCTGCCTACCACGTGATCCCCACTATGCGACAGTCTAAGAATGAAAACTATAGAGATGTAAAAAAAATCAGTGGTTGCCAGGGGCTGGGGGCTGGGGGGAGGGGCCAGGGAGGGGTAGTCAGAGCAAAGAGGTATTTTTAGGACAATGCAGGCCATCACACATTTGTCCAACCCACAGAATATACCACATCAAGAGTGAGCCCTGCGGTAAACGTGGACAGCGAGTGCAATGGTGTCAGTGCAGGCTTGTGGGGTACACTCAGGCAGTGTGCAGCCTGCACTACGCCTGGGGTGGGGGTGTCGATAATGGAGAAGGTGGTGCGTGTGTTGGTGAAGAGGGTCTGTGGAGACCCCCTGTACTTTGAGCTCAGTTT